CCCGGCCTAGGCCGGCTGCCTCGGCCGTGGCCGAACCAGGCCGCGGCCTACGTGCAACATAGCGCCCATATTTGTCCACCGTGGTTTGAAATCCATCCACGAAATCAGGCAACAATTCCCTGGGTCCTTGTGGCCGATTTTTTAGCACGTACCAGGCGGCATCTTCATTGACCGTATCAAATTGAGCCAAGAAGGCTTGTTGGAAAGTATCCCAATCTACCCACGTATGTTTTATAAACCAGTCATGCAATGTATTGCAGTGTAGCAATGTCAGAACGCGGGGAAGATCAGCTGCGCTGTAATTTTGAGCTTCAACAGCTTCCAGCTAAGCCTCGGGATGGGTATGGTTAGGGAAGAAAGGGAAGGGGGCGGGGATGCTAACGATCACCCTAGTACCGTCTGCCATCGGCATGGCGGTGTAACCGCACCGGATTGAGACCTGGTCACTGGGCGATCCCGACGAGCTAGTTGAGGGTCTCTCCTACCTCTTGCCAGTTCGACTTACTATCATTAGAACCGACACGTGTCGGCTCCGATACCAACCTCACGCCTTGTGCCGTCTTTCGTTCGGAGTGTTAGGCGTGCAGAAAGAGGCCCAGAAAAAACAGCAAGATGGGGTGTGCCAAGGATTTTTAGAAATTGAGTGTGGGGACACAGATGGAACTGAAATCCCCCGTGTTGGTCCGATGAAGTAAGTCAGTTGCTTTCGCGCATCGCAGAATGCACGCACGGGCACGGCGCAAAAAGAGAAAAATCCAAATTCAATCCAAAAAGTATTGTCGGGCTTCCCACCGGGCTAYAGCCCGTCGTTTAGAACGGAAAGGCGTCGGCACGCTTCGCGTGTCTCTTTTACGTATCAAATCTCGCCGTTGTTCGCTGGTCAGTTCCGAGTCTGACGTGGATGGTCTCACCTGTGTGGCTCTTTCTTTATGCTCGTCTTCACTCCGCACACGGTAGTGGACACCCCTGGATTCGTAGCGCTCAAAACGCCGACATTCAGTGGGGCTCTACTGCCGTCCACGGGATGACGATCAACTCGTTGAATGGCAACAATATCGAGTAAGGTGGGAAGTGCGTATCGATAATGACAAACCCAGCCTCCACGAACCCTGAACAACGATTTGCCGGAGGGAAGTAATATCGTCCGCCGATTTGTGCAACAGCTTTTCGTACGTCCCACTCGCATGCTCGTATCCTTCCCTCGTTGTAGGGAAAAGGCCGTGTTGGGATGGGAGGTACGGGAGGCTGGTGCCCGATCGGAGGGTACTGGTCAGTCCACATATCAATCAATTGTAAAGACCTTGCGACGTCATGAAGAAAAGAAAACACTCGCGCAACYCTCAATCAGTCCCTTTCAATAGAAGAGAGAGAGAGAGCGAAAGGAGACACTTCAGCTGCTTGATCATGSATTTAACTAAGGGACCGATCCGCGGCTCAGGTTTAGTGAGCCTACGCGACCTTGATCCCAGGCACCTTGTTTCTCGAGGCCGCCCCGTAGCTCGGCTGCTGATGTCGTGCAGCATAAGGCAGATGGCATTCGCAGTACATTCAGATCTACAGATCTAAACACTCTTGCATTCTCGAACAAAATCCCGACGATAATTGTCTAATCAACGCAAAAAAGGGGGTCACACATCTCCATACATATATCCATTGTGGAAGATGCGAAAAATGAGCCATGCATAGAAAAAGATGGATCGCTTGCACAGTACACATGCATCCACCGTTCACAAGACAAGAAGACGGGGTCCTTGCGTAGGAGGATTACCTAGGAAACTAATGGAAGAGTTCCGGAAGAAGTTCTTTCATGCAAGGGAAGCATACAGATTCATGCTCATCCAAAAGAGAGAAAGAGAGAGAAGGAGAGAAGCATCGAGACACATCATTATTCAAAGACA